TTCCTGTGTGTCTGTGCTTTTATTGACTTTCTGTTCTGCCTTCTCATTGGTTCTAAACCCAACCACATGACTTCTTCATCACTGCCTGTCTATACAGACCTCCAGATCTCTGTGGTTGGTACAGCGATTAAAGGCGTGTCTCCAAGCTGGCTATGTCCTTGAATACACAGACTCTGCCTGCCATGTGATTGGATTAAGGGCGTGTGCTACCACTGCCAGACTTCTGCTAAATGACTTGCTATTAACTCTGACCTGCAGGCAACTTTATTTATTCACATACAAATAAAATCACATTTTAGCACAAATAAAATATCACCATAACATAGAGTTTACTATGGTAACCATTTTGAGTGTGCATTCCTGCAGCACTAGGTATATTTATATTTTGTAATTGTCACCTCGATACTTCTGCAGAACCTCGTTATCTTTCAGTCTCAAAACTGTCCCCGTTAAACACTAACTCCTCACTCCCCATCTTTCCAGCCCTTAGCCATCACTCTTCCACATTCTGTCTCTATGAATCTGACCTTAGGTACCTTGCATAAGCACAAGGATGTACTATTCGTCCATCTGGGTCTGCCTTGCTTAATTTAGTGTCTTTACAAGATGCACCCATGTGGTCATAATCTTTTTTAAAAATTTTTTTATTACATACCAACCACGGATCCCCCCTCATCCCTCCTCCCCGCTACCCCCTCCTGTCCAAACCACCCCCTGACCCATTCTCTATCCCCTCCTCCAAAAGGGCAAGTTCTCTCATGGGGGGGACAGCAAAGCCTGGTACATTAAGTTGAGCCCCTCTCCCCTGCCCCAAGGTTGAGCAAGGCATTTGACCATAGGTAATGGGATCCAAAAAGCCAGTTCATGCACAGGGATAGATCCTGGTCATACTGCCAGGGGTCCCCCCAAGAGACCTAGCCACACAGCCGTCTCCCGTTTGCAGAGGGTCTAGTTCAGTCCCATGCAGGCTCCCATGTGGTCCTATCTAAATGTTCTTCCTTCCTAAAGACTGAATAATATCCAGTCATGTGTCTGTAACATAATTTGCTAATTCATCTGTTATGGACTTTTGGGTTGTTGTCACCTTGGGGTTTTTCGGAATGTGACACTGTAAACATTGATGTCTAAATGTCTGTTTGAGTCTCTGCTTTTAAGTCTTTTGTATGTTTATCTCTCAGTGGAATTATTTGGATCAAATGGTCTTTCTGTATTTAGTTTTAACTTTAGTTTGAACTTAGTTATGTTCCATTTATTTTGTGTGTATGAGAGAGGTGTGTAGCAAAATAAACCTACAGGAACTGTTCCATGGATTATATTCTGGGGTGAAAACACTGCTGTTTCTCCCTAGAAACTGCTGTCTGTGCTTGTGATTGTCGACTTAAAATTTGGCATGCAGTTTCAGAGTGCACGAAAATTTTGTCTGCTGGGATGCACTCAGCCTCGGCTCCTCAGGCTGCTTGAGCAGTGTATAGGAAGAAGCAGATAAAGTAATTTTAAACCCTGTTTCTGTATGTGCAAAGTGTGGCTTAAACACTATTTCCACAGAACTAGATGGAGTAACAAAGAGATGAAAGTGTGTGTGTGTGTGTGTGTGTGTGTGTGTGTGTGTGTGTCTGAGTGCATGGTTTTTCCCTTTGGTTGTTAAAGAAATGTCATTGAACAGATTCCAATAATTTATAATTCAGGTTGTTAAAAAAAGTCTCATTTTAGTGTAGATTTTACAGAATTGGCCACAGATCCTGGAGAGATGAAATCAGTATTTTTGAATTAAATTTGCAAGTAAGACTACAAGTACAAAGCTAATGTACCTAGAATGAAAATTCTTACTTATTGCCATGGCTATAATTTAAAATACTTTAAAGTTTTATTACTTTGTAGATTCAAATGTATTTGCTATCTACTGAAATGTAACTTAGCCTTGAAGTCTTTTTCTGTGAAGGACAAACTCTAGTAAGGAAGTGATGTCTGCTCATAGTCCATGGGGTAAAGAAGGGGGATGTAACTTGAGGCAGGAATAGGTGCTTAAAAAGGTAGGGGCCAGTGTCAGACTCTGGTAGAAGACTTGTTGCTCTAGACACATCTGTGGTTGCAGCTTAGTCTATAGATTTTAATTTATTTTGTAAGCTTTTGCTACTATAAGACCTGTTTAGCAGCCTGGGGCATTGCCAGAATGGCGCAAATAGGAATTAAGTGTTACCTGTGTGCTGCTAGGCAAAACTCATTTCTTCCTAGCATTTTTGACTCCCAAACATGAGAGCAGGGCAGAGGTTTGTCATCTCACACTGTATATTCTTAGCACCTAATATAATTGCTTATGGAATAGATTCTTTTAAGCACTGGCAGAATCTATTCTTAGGAGATTGACATAAATATGACAACATGGAAAGAAGCATCTCCTGTAGCTATCCAGGGACTTAATCTGGATTGGAGTAAGAATGTGGCCAAGGACAGGAAATCACTACAGAGCAGAAACCAGAGAGATTTGAAAGTTCCACGTGGCACATTGAGCTGTTTATGAATTTCCTTGATATTCTGGCTTTAACCTGAATTGCACTTGTTTATTTAGGAGATGTTGGGGCATGAAAATTGTGGGGTGTCAAGAGACATGCGCGTCTAAAAGGTTTTATGTGTAGAGTTGTTTTGCCTGCGTGTTTGTCTGTCTGCTACTTGGGTGCTTGGTGCCCACAGAGGCCAGAAGAAGGCATCAGATTTCCTGGGACTTGAGTTACAGACCGCTGTGAGCCACTTTGTGGGTACTAAGAACTGAACTCAGATCAGCCAGTGCTCATAACCATTGAGCCATTTTCTAGTCTCTATTTTTTTTTAAATTGTTTTAAACATACTCTGTGTGTGTGTGTGTGTGTGTGTGTGTGTGTGTGTGTGTGTGTGTGTGTGTGTGTGTGTGTGTGTGTGTGTGATAACTTGCCTAAGTCAGTTTTCTCCTTCCACCATGTATGGCCCAGGGATTGATCGTCAGATTTGGTGACAAGGGCCTTTACCTGCTGAGTCATCTCCCTGCACCCTCTTTAAAGGCAAGGTCTCTCTGTGTAGCCCTGGCTGGCCTAGGACTCACTGTGTAGACCAGGCTAGTCTTGAAATTTCATTGAGTTTCTACTGCCTCTGTCTCCTGTGTGCTGGGGTTACAGGTGTATGTCACCACACCTGGCTTATAATTTTAATATAAAGTTATGAAGACACAGAGAGATAAGAGTGTATAGTATTTGTGAAAGATGTAATGGGAGTGATCATCATATATTGTAGAAACTCTTTCCTGGGGAGATGTAAACAAATGTCTAGCTCTTTATTGGAGAGTCCCAACAACACACCAAAGTATGATTCTATTGAAGTTAGACAGGCGTACTTACAGAACATGGTCAGGGAATTACTTATAGGAGCAAAGCAGCCACACCACCCCGCAGTCTCACCCCGTGGAGAATGGTGACTTTTGCAGAGCTGCTTATATGGAGTCTCCCTGTCAGTTAACCTTCCACAGTTTGTACTCTAGCACCTCCTGAGACCACAGGCTCTGTGCAGTTCAGGGCAGAGCCATACTCAGTGGGCAGGGGAGAGGGAGCAGAGAGGGTGTTTAAGATATGAGGTTGAGGGCTGGAGAGATGGCTCAGCAGTTAAGAGCACTGGCTGTTCTTGCAGAGATCCTGAGTTCAATTCCCAGCAACCACATGGTGGCTCGAAACCATCTGTAATGAGATCTTGTGCCCTCTTCTGAATTGTGGTAGAACATTGTATACGTAATAAATAAATCTTAAAAAAAAAGATATGAGGTTGAGGGAGTGATGGTCCTCCCCACCCCTCCTCCTGTGAGGGAATGCCAGCAGTTAACAGGTCCCGTCTTGAGCTGCTCTGATGAAGATGATGACTTCTGCTCCAAGGATAATACTAGACAACATCATAGAAAGCAGTAGTTTAGCTGAGTGAGAGACAATGGGAGTACTTCCTGCCAAGCAGATAGTCTACGAGGAGAGGCTTAGAAAGCCATAGAGTCCAGGCAGAGAAAGAGATGGGTCCTGAGTGTCAGGAGCCTTGTTTCTGCTTTTGCCTGCTGCTTCAGTGTGTGAGTCCCTCCACTTCTTACTTTAACCACAAGCATTGGGAACCAGTAGAGGATTTCAAACAGCCAAGTGACATCAGAAGTGTCTTTGTCAATTTTATGGCTACACAGAAGATGAATTATAGGGCAGATTCTAGAGGGATGGATTTTGGAGGTGGTTGTAGTCCAAGCAGGAGATGGAGCTTTCCTGCTGTGACTCCATTTACATCAAATGCCAGGATAGCTGATTATTAGAGATTAATGGAGTTGCCGGGATCTAGTGGGGAGATATAACAGGAAGGAATTATTCATGTATGTGGGCTTTTCTTTGAGGTTCTTGAGTTAATAGTGGTAGTTTTACAGTCTTATTAATGTACTAAAAAGCACCAGATTACATTCTTTAATAAGACTGTACAACTATTACTATACCACCCTGAACATACCTGCTCTCCTTTAAAAATGATGAATTATCTCTGATGCTTTAATTATATATCGATTTAAGAGGGAGGGGGAAGGATAAAGGAAAAGGGGAAGGGACGGAGACCCTGGAACCAGCAGAGTTCAAGACACTCAGTGATAGAGAGTTTAAATACTAGCAATATTGAAAATGAAGTAGCAGCTGTTCCTCAAGTTTTTAGTCTGTAAGATTGAATTGATAAGGACAGAAATATGGGAATAGAGCAAGTTTTGGGGAAATAAGGAGTGAGCTATGTATTAATTGTGCAACCAAGGCCAGCACCTAAACATAATGGCCCTGATTTAAAGACAGAGATTTGAGACTAGAGAAAGAGGGAATGTATGGAAGTTGATTGAAGTCAGTCAAACTTGTTGATAGATGATATTTTCTTTTTCCAACCTCCTTGGAAGACATGTCCTGTTGTTTCTTGTTGCCAAGTCTGGTATATAAGTGTTTTTGCCTTTGTATAAAACTGAGCTTTATGTTACTTTTCAGGCAGAAGCAAGGCTAGCAGCAAAGCGGGCCGCCCGGGCAGAAGCAAGAGACATCCGCATGAGGGAACTGGAACGGCAGCAAAGAGAGGTAACGAGAAGTGTCATCTTAGCCTGTGTGTGCGTGTGTGCGTGCGTGCGTGCGGTGTATTGGAGTGAGGGATAAAAAACAGGTTGGATGAAGGCGAGATCTCACCATCTCGAATCTCCGTTTCCAGGGTTCAGGAGTACAGACGACTTTAGTGAGCTACAGGCTGAGATAATAAATAGTGAGATCCCCAGGTTGGACACCTACTTTCTCTTCAGGGTGCTGGCTCCTCCACTTGAATGCAGATCTAAGTCTTGCTCTCCTGGTCAGCAACTGCATTTTCTCTTTAGATAAACCAGTTAAAAATGAACACAAAGAGAGGAGGGGGCATTGCAGACAATAGATAAAAAGGGTGGGTTGTTAAAAGCACTCGGTCCCCAGGGTGGCAAAACTAAAGACCCCTGTATTCTTCACTTCATAATCCCAATTCTCTGCTTTCAAAATAACCAACTTAGGAAGTCTATTTGGACATTTTTCTATATTTTCTTACTTACAGTAATTGTTGTCATCCTCACTGTCAATCCTGCTATATTCATAGAAGACCTCTCTGATGGGTCTTTGTGTTAAATGAGGACTGGCCTGGAAGTTTTAGAACGGAAGGTTTAGTTTGACATGACATATGTGCAGATCCAAGTAGAAACATCACAGTGAACCTTGATCTCCCCGATAGCTACCTGAATCCCCATGCTTACCATTTTGAGCATATTTAATACTGTAGAAAAATGTTCATATAAGAATGTGGGGGAAAATCCCAAACTATAAAATTAGTAGAACACCCCAAAACAACCAGTGCCAAAATATAGGATCAGAAAGAACTGGTTTAATCAGTACTTTGGTTTGACAGTATGCAATTATAATTGGTCTTATGTTTTTCTGTAGTCCACAGATTTATATTATGCTTTTGTCATCAGAAAAGTGGAAAAAAGTAAAATAGGTAAATGGAAATTGAGCTCTAAGCTCAATGACATACTTGTTAACTTTTCTTTCTGACATTGACTTGGGTCTGAAAATCCTCACAAATATTTTGATACTGTATTTATAAAGGGAAAACATCTGTGGAGGATTAGTAAGCAATTTATTTTGGTGTTACTGGTAGATTTTCTATTGACAAGTTAAAAAAAGAAATTTATATATTTGTGGTCTATGTTGATGTAATTTTCTCCCCTTAGTTACAGTTTCAAATATTGGTTTGAAATGTAATGTTCCTATGCAGTGTCTTTATACTCCTAAGATGTTACTAAATTATAAATAGAGACAGTTATTAATAGAAATTCTATCTATGCAGTGAACCATGTGTCTTTTTGTTACTGAACTTATTTAGCTTAGTAATTTCTTGTATTTTCAAAGTGTAAGCTTTGAGTCAACTACTATTGTTGTATCGGGCAAGTGTATGTGATTAAGGTTTTTTTTTTTTTTTGAGAATGCAGTGTATTGAAAACCATTCAGTTTATAAAACTTTTGTATTCATAGCCCTCTCATCATTGCTCTGAACGGAAATGGGGACAGATTCAGAAGTGGCTGGTAGGCCAGGATTGCCTGTCCTGCATGCTGTGCTAAACTGTTGAACTAATGCAACATTGAAGCAAAACATTGACTAACGGTTTGCAAAGTAGGCGCTTGGTCTGTGTGGACCTAAAGGTCACAGAGTAGCTGTTGTGTTTATAGTAGTTGAGATGAGTACTCGAGTCCAGCCGTTTTCTTTTGTGGTCAGTAGCCTCACTTTCAACTCATGAAAGTCCCAGATCAAGAAAGAATAAGTAAATGAATGTGTGTTTTAGTAGTTTAGGCCAGACTAGAAAATCTTAAATATAAACAAGAACATATATTGAAAGTCTAATATTTCATTTCTCTATTCAGGGGCTGTGAAGATAACCATTTAAAAGAATCATTGATATGTGTGTAGCTTACGTAGTGAGAGTATTAGACTTAGGAGGTTTTTGGTTTGAGGTTTAGAATGTAGTTGGTTAACCTGAGTCTTTACTGATAGCTAGGCTTGGGCATATGTGGGAGTTTGTTTCAGATGGGAGTAATTGTTACTCCTTACTACTTCTACCCCTGTTCTTTACTCCTTTCAAATGGATTCTTCCACTCCCTTCCTACCTTACTCTTCGGCTCCCTTGTTTGTGAGTCCACAGTTATCATGTGATATTCTTGATATAAACTATATATGTGGCTAGTAAATTTTTGGTGAAATCTGTAGTGTATGACCACACATAGGATTCTGTTGCCTATGATTCCTTTCATGTCAAATATTTCCCTTGATTCTAACTCTTTGGGTGTGTGTGTGTAGACTGAAGTTTCTGTCCCACATGGTCCTGCAGCCGTTCAGTCCCACATAAACACACAGAGGCTTATATTAATTATGAACTGTTTGGCCTATGGCTCAGGCTTGTAACTAACTAGCCCTTAGGCTTAAATTAACCCAAAATTCTTGTCTATGTTTAGCCATGTGGCTTAGTACCTTTTCTCAGCCTAGCATTCTTATCTTACTTCCTCTGCCTCAGGCTGGCGGCTCTCTCTGCCTTCCTCTTCCCAGCCTTCTCCTAGTCTGGTCACCCTGCCTACACTTCCTGCCTGGATACTGGCCAATCAGCGTTTTATTAAACTATAGGAGTGACAAACCTTTACAGTGTGCAAGAGCATTATCCCACAGCATGTGTGTGTCACACTTGGCTTGCTGGGATGTGAGTAGGGAGTACTAGAAACACGAAGCTCAGGAATGAAGGAAGTTACTGTGTGTCAGCACCGTGCTGGAGCTTTTTACCTTTCTTTACCATAGGGGACACTCTCCATTTTATAGATGTGTTCTTTAGTTTTTTTGTCAACTTAAAACAAATCTAGACATACCTGAGAAAAGGGAATCATAACTAAGGAATTTCATCCATCAGATTGGTCTATGGCCATGTCTGTGGTGCATTTTTCTTAATTACTAATTGATGTAGATGTAGGAAGGTCCAGTCCACTGTGGGTGGCACCATCCCTAGGCAGGTTGGCCTAGCTGTATAAGAGAGGTAGCTGAGCAAGCCAGAGGAGGCAGCATAGTAAGCAGTGTTCCTCCACTGTCTCTGCTTCAGTTCCTGCCCAGACTCTTTCATTGATGGACTGTCCCCAGTAAGCCTTTCCTTCCCTAACTTGGTTCTGGTCGGGGTTTTATCTTAGCAGCACAAAGCAAACTAGGACCAGAGACGAGCAGGAGAGGTTTGGTGATGGAAGGAGCCCGTGTAATCATGGGCAGGTCAGAGTTTGAGGGTAGGAAGGAGTGCCACTCTGCTGACAGAGGTGAAGGGAGGGCTGGAGTCTTCTGGGTCTCTATGCAGTCTTGTGTAGCTAGCTTTCCGTTTCTCAGGACTCTGGTTTAAGTTGCATGCTTCAGTCAGCAGCATGTTGGTGTTTGGCTGGAAGAGTAGATGCTGTTCCTAGTGTTTTCTGGTCTGACACTGAAGGAGCAACTCCAGCCCCAGTTTGATAATAATATTTGTAGACAGAGAAGGTGGCTAGGCATGTTCTTGGGGCTGTGATTTCCTTTTACTAAAACCACTTCGCCTCACTTTAAGTGAACTTTTAAAAAGAGTGTGTTTTATTTTCATTAACCTAATTTGAATATAACAAGATAATTTTCCAGGAAGTTTTCTAAACTTTATTAATTCTTATAAGAAGCTCAGGCATCACGTTGTAGAATCTTGGCCCATCTGTATTGTGCCATCACCTGCATTGGCCTTTTGTCCACACTGAGAATACTGGGGCTCACTTAGACTGGGAAGAAGCTCTGCCACTGAGCTTCATCTACACCCTGCTTGTTGTTTTTGAGACAAAGTCTAAGTCGTCCTGGCAGAAATAGTCTGCTGGTCATGAACTTCCTGGTCTGGGTACTTACATTGTCATTTATGATAGTGGCCAGTCCTTAGACAGCCAGGGAGGAAGAGACACCCAACAGTTTGGGCTAAATATGTCCCTGTCATTTAAGGCATTGTCATGCTTGGGTTGTTCAGTCCTAATAAGGCCACCCAGGATTATGACAGTGGTTGTTTCCTCGTGACTGAAGGGGATACTCTGCCTTGCATTTAGTGCCCAAGAACACAGTTTGCTGCTGTCTGTCTTCTTAGCTTCTGGTGCTGTTACTTAAGGACAAGCCACTGGCTGTTCTGTGTAGTCCGAGGCACCCCTGGACAGCGAAGAGGGCTGCTCTTCCATGGAAGGAAGCCCTGAGTTTGTTGTTGCTTCTGTGTGATTGGGCCTCGGCAGGGTGGGTGCTGTGGTGGATGTTGTAGTCATGGGTCTGTGGTCTGCTGAGTCTGAGGATCTGAATGCTGACTCCAGCTTTATGCTTTGCAAGATCCCTCCTTAACCCTCCCCTGTGCTAACTTTCTATGCTGAAGATGAGGGATCAGATAAGACCCTCTCCAGGGATTCCAGAGCCTAATATGGTGGCACCTGCCTATAATTATGGCACTTGGGAGGCAGAGGCAGGAGGATTGCCATGATTTTGAGGCTAGCTTGGTTTACTGAGTGAGACGTGTCTCAAAAAACAGAATTCTGGAGTTGTAACCAAGGTCTTTTCTTCTAATTTCCTCACATTTGCCACATAACTGCTTTTCACAGTCAGGAGATAATTGAAAACAGCCTCGGTGCTTTGCCTTTCTGCAAGTAGTGGTGCTGCTGAGGAAAGAGGCTTTTCAGCTGTTAAGGCATGATAGAAATTTCTTTGTGCATTCCATACTATTTTACCTGAACATATATTTTCAAATTGGCTTAGAGAAATGCTGTGCATTTTGGTAGCCTTAGTCATGTGCAGGTAATTAGATTTACATTGATTAGAATCAAATAGAATTGGGAATTTAGTTTTCCAGTTGTGCACTGTATTAGGGTTTTCTAGAGGAACAGAATCCATAGGATGAATGTCTGTAAAAGAATTTATTGAATTAACTTACATTAAAATGGTAACGGCCTCACACTTGAGAGGCTGAGAAACAGGTAGTTAGTTACTCGGTCCTTTTCACTGAGTG